ATATATATATATACAGAATTTGAAATGGTAATCTTTTGTAATAATATAGCAAAGTTTATAAAAACTGCGATCCTCTACTTAATTTTGTCAGGAATACTCCACATATCTTTGCTTATTTATAATGTTTTTTTATTGTTATTTTTATTTTTTTAAACCTATGGATCTCTTCTTTCTGTTGTTTTATTATATTTTTATGTATAATTATTCAGTTGCATTGACAATTCATGTGGGTGCTAATGTTTTTTTTCTTTTTCTTTTTTAACGTACTTCTCTGTTTTATTCTCCTCCTTGGGGGCGGGTGGGGGATAGGGACCACTGAGGGTTATGACTGTTCATGTTTCACCCTTAGTAATTGTGAAAAAGAAATGTGTAAATTTGTAATATTGCAGTATCCTTTGTATATTAGAAATAAATGTAAAAAAAATAAATCCAGATCCATATGTAAAGTACATTTAGTTGGTGTTAAACTATTCCTCACCTGTTTAGTAGTTCCTCAGCTGTGTCTTCTCCTCTGCATGTTAGAAGTGTAAACCTGTGTATTTGGTCTGTGTTTTGTGATTAGAACAGGCTTTGTTGATTCCGTTCATGAACGCTGTTAGAGGAATGTCTTCATCAGGAGGACCGACACCCCCCTTCACAACCCTGTCAGTCAGCCGGCCAGCTGAGACCATCACTCATGTTGAGATCTGCCGCCCGGAGAAACGCAATGCAATGAACAAGGCATTCTGGCTGTATGACGTCTATGTCCATATCACATGCTACGAATAATTAATTTCCTTTAATTTCCTTTTAAGATTTCCTGTAATGCTTCATAAGCAATCATTTCACAAGTATCTCATCCTTCATATTGGAAAGAGTGCCCATTTTATGCCATTTCTATGTTAAAATGTTCTTATTTGGTGGTATGAGATTAGAATTTAAAGTGCACATTGATCTTAGTTATCTAAAATATTTGCAATCATGTCATGACAGGCTTAGCGATGTTCATGTGTGTTGGTGTTACTTCTTTGCTGTGCTGAATTACTGTATTTTTGTTTCACCTGTAGTGAAATGGTTGACTGCTTCAATCAGATAGCTGAGGACTCAGAATGTCGTGTCGTGGTTTTCTCAGGTGCTGGAAAGCTCTTCACTTCAGGTAAAGCCATCAGACGTCTTGCCACATATGACCAGTTGCTAGTCTAGTCCTTTTGTTTTATTGCAGTTTTGTGTTATCTGTTGATTGATCAGACTGTTCCTCATAATATGACAATCCATTTTCAAATTTTCATGATGTTTCATATCAACAATGTTTTGACCATTGGCAACTGAATATAATTTTTTTTATTTTGTTAGTTTTATGGCGATCTAGACCTAGATATTTAATTTTCTAAATTTTGCTTGCCTGTGCAATACTCAATGTCACAGTACTGCATGTAGGGGTTGCTGTGCAATTGGTAGAATATTCTAAGTGGTGTCTGTGTAGTTGTTTTCTGGCAAAAGTCAAAATTGCCCACCGCTGTCTCCTTAAATGTAAGGATTTTTTTATACCTATAATTTATTCATCAGATGGAAATCTGAACCACACAATGCAAGGTATAATTCATATCCATAGCACAAATGTTGCAGTAGTTTAATGCTTAGGGTTAGGGGTTTATTGAAATCAATTCAATATGAGCATTAGTTATAGTAATACGTGCCTTAGCACACACCACTAACACTTCTTAATGTATATATATTTAACTGCAGCTGGAGAGAGACATTCATTCTGCAGCACTGAAGAGACATAGATTGCATACTTATGTATTACATGCCATATATAAATATTTAATGTAATAATCTTTGTACAGGTATTGACCTCATGGGAATGGCCAGTGATATTCTGCAGCCCGAAGGTGATGACACAGCCAGGATCTCATGGAATGTGCGCCGTGTCATAACTAAATACCAAGAGACCTTCTCTGTTATTGAAAAGGTTACTTTTTAAAAGCATCATACTGTGAAAGCATATCAATACGTAGATAATAATAAAAAAAACATTGAGATCTAGGTAATATGGGAAATATAAGGAAAAATTAATACAAAAATATGCACGTTATGCATTTGAGAACTGCGAAAGGCATGCCATGAGGATGTTTGGAGGATTACAAGATTTTAAGTTGAACATTATGTTTGGCTTTAACAACCAGTCCATTCCAAGATTTGGATTTAGAAATGTAAACAGTCAACTAGGCTTTATCTCATATGCAGAAATCATATTTTTCATCATGTCTCTTGTGCTTTATTGTACAGTGTCCAAAACCAGTGATTGTGGCCATTCATGGAGCATGTATAGGAGGAGGTTAGTTCCCTTTCGATACTACACTCATACTGCATCTGCTAGATGCATATGGGAAAAAAGCCTTTTTCTCCTGAACTGAAGCCTTTTCATTCACGCAGTGAAACTGCACGGCCATTGGTTCGTGCAGTGTTTTAAAAACGAACCAATGGCTAGGCAGCGGAACTGCACGAGCCTATGGCGACGAAGCCAGCCAAAGCCCGCCAGAATGGGCGGGGCATCTGGCTATATAAGTGGGCGTTCGCCACAGGATTCTCAGGTTTCTTCTCCTTCAGCGACGACTCTACGTCCTCAAGCTGATCCGAAGCCGCTCGCCGTTGACATGCCTTCGCAGCTGGAATCGGGGACCTCTCAGCACGTCTGACCTGCTTCTCCGCCGCTCCAGCGACGCAGCAGTTCCGGTCCGGTTCCCCTGCCGCCATCCGGCGATATAAAAGAGCTTCTAAAAGAGCAAATTGGCATTGTTGCAAATGCCACGCCGCCACACGGAGTGCGTTTCCTGCTTGGGGAAATCCCATGCTGAAGCTGCGCTCACGGGAGCTATTTGCTCCCACAGCGAGAGCTTCAGTCTCGCCTCTCTCCGCTCACGGATTGCTTTCTTTTCAGAGAGCGACTCCGTCCCCCGCGCCCTCCCATTTTCTTCCTCTCAGGGACCTATTCCCCCATCCATTTCTCCCGGTCTGATCAGCGTACCTCTGCTGGTGCGAGCGACCTGATCTCATTTGGGGGAAGTGAGTACGAGCTGCTTGATTACAGCATGTCATTGGCATCATCGGATGCAGAGGAGCTGTTGGGCTTGGTAAATGACCCCACCCC